CGAAATCCTAATGCTAAGACTTCTATTTATACTACTTCGACCATAACGGTCTTGCTATAAGATTTTGCCATGTTCAGAACATGCAAAGCAACGCCCCTCTCTAGCTTCCACGCGTCTTCGAATGCTCCAGCGCATATATTTTAAATTTCGAACATCCCGCTTGCGTTTGAATTTCAAATGTTTTGGCACTCTTCGTTTCGAACTCATTTCTTGGACACAACCTTGTTACCATTTCGAGACTTCTTTGAATATATCCCTATAACTGTCACTCGAAGCTCAAAGTTTTGACATGCCCATTTGAAGTACTGCTTCTACCATTTCGAAACATGACATCTTGCTTTATTCCAATCGAAACATCCAACTTGCTTCGCTTCGAATAATATCATCAAAATCTTCAGCCAACACTCACATGGACAAGGCCAGATATTTCGCTGAGTGTTGGAATTGTGAGTCGTTTCACGGAAGAACCAGTTTTTGCACACTCGAAAGCTCTGAAGAGAATCCTTTGATATGTCCAAGGAACTGTGTCACTTGGAATATTTTCTTCAAAAGCAGAATGTGATACGGTGGCAGAACCGACTGTAAATACTACTGGTTTTTGTGTTTTTTGTTCGCAAATATGCGGTAAGCAAGAGTCGCCACCGTCTTTTATTTTATCCAACAAAGGAAAAGGGAAAAAGAACAGAAAAAACCTTTTTCGAGATGTTTCAGAGCACGGGGGGTAGATTATAGAAAGGAAAGGTGTTAGCACCCTTTTTATCCATGGTTTTCCATGGGCTCTTAGGTACTTGCTCATTTTGAAATTTCTTGTGTGTGTTTTGAAAAGTTTTTGTTTAACTTCGTGGTAACCCTTGTATATGTCCTCAAGAGTGTGACGAAGTTGTTTTTTAACACTATTTTGAAAGTGTTTGTGTGAAAGAGTTTTTGTTATTTTGAGCAAGTACTTAAGAGCTTCTACCTACTCGAAAAAAGACTGTTCGTTTTCTCGTTTCCTTTAGACAGTGTTATCCAATTATTAAGGAGTAGGTAGCTCTATCGTTGGAGTTTGAGGGACAATTGAAAGGGATATTTTTACGGTCACTTAAGCAATAATTAGGAAACCTTAGTAGTTACCCTAGAGTCTTAAAGATCTTTCCGAGGCAACATACGAATGGGTCATTTTTGAACTTTTGGGACTAGAGGGTGACCACTAAAATTCCCTATTCTTCATGACTGTTTACCGAAGGCAACCGAAGTGGGGGTAACCCTAGGAGTGAGCATGTGAAAGTGTTTAATTTCAGTTGATTATCTTTGCACAATTAGGGTTTTCTACCGTTTTAAACGTTATTCTTTCCATACAAGCCTATTAGTCTAAGCAGTTAATAATAGTGGAAAGTAAAGCAGAAAAATAAATCTACACTATTACAAAGCTTTGGGGATGGGGTTACATAACCAAAAAACGGGGGATTAAACAGTAAATAATAAGCGGTAAAATAAACTCTAATTAACAACTATTACAAACCCCGAAACAGTTGCATTAATTGGAAAAATAAATAAATAACTGCGTGCGAGAACAAAGTAAATATCCTAAAGAATCTATTTAAAAAAATTTTGATTTTTTTTATATAGAAAAATTAAATATTTTGTGAATTAAACCTAATTTTGTAATTGATTTTAATTATGGAAAAAGAATTTAAATTGCCCTGATTAAATTAATCTAATTAATTAATGAAATTAATTATTTTTTAGAAAAAAAACCTAATTCTAATGTTTGATGATTTTATGATTTTATATAAAAAAAATGATTTTTGAAACAAATAAAATAAAAATAAAAATGAAATAAAATAAAAAAATAAGAAAGAAAAATAAAACTGGGCATGTTAGGAGAAGCAATTTGGGGGTGTGGAATGGAATTTGCCAAGCCCAAAATGGTAGGCCCATCTGCCTTGCGTGTGGACCAGCTTCTGGGAGTTCACGGGTCTTCAACTCTGGAACGTCAGATTTGCTTTGAGATGATCCAATGGGTGGGATCTGTGAGCGTACAATGAACACTTGGCTAGGAGATACGCTGAATTTGCAATTAATTATCAAGAAAAATATAAAAGCACACGCCTGGGATCTAACCCAGGACGTTTGCATCATATACACGCTCCCTGACCAACTGCATTGGAAAGTTCATTTGTACATATAATGAAATAAATAAAATATAATGTAAACAAAGTGCCTTGTCCAAAAAAATCGCGCGTGGATTCCAACGGGCCAGTGGGATGCTACCACGCCCTCATCTTCTTCCCAGAACTGTCATTTTAGGTATTAAGCTTTTACCTACAGTTATTTCCGGCACTATAGGCTATAGTGACGGATTTTGTTCGTAGCTATAAACCTGTAAAATTCAAAAACGCAGCACAAGCAGAATAAATTCACACCAAAGACATGGATCAATTGCAAATTATCTCCTGAGCATGATAGTACCCCTAATTTTGTCCAATTTTTCCTCGATATGGAATTCCCAATTTGGGACCTCAAAACCCTAACAGTGGCATCGTGCCATTCCTGCACTTAAACTTCAAACAAACCAATCAAAAACATTGCAAATATGATAGCAAGCAAAGATATATGATCAAAACATGTTTATGATGGATAAGTCATTCAAAATGAATTTTGAAAAAAGATGCAAACCGTGGTATTGTGAGGCGCAATTTCTGAAGGTTTTAAGGCTTGAGAATGATTGGAATAGCTTCAGAAACTGTCCAGGAACAGATTGCTGGCCTTGGAATTGCTTGAAACGGTCTATGGAATAAAAACCGATCTGCACTTTTTGACAAAAATTTGAAACTTGTTCTTGTGATTTTCACGACCAATCCTCCTTTTTCTGTCTTGGGAATGTTATGTATATATGATAGAATGATTTAGGTCAACAAAAATTGATCGTATCTTTGCAAATTATGGAGATTTGATTTCATTCTTTATCTTGTATGATTTGTTTCTAAAATAGACCAAATTAAGATATTTTCAAATCAATTAGCTCTTGCACGATTTGGATGATTTGCTAGTTGTTCATTGACTCATAATATGCTCATAAAATCAAATCTTGGATTTTATTTCATTATTCTACTATTTAAATTGATTTATTTTGTTTTAAATGGATAAAAAATCAAAACAAATAATAAAAATAATAAAATAATAAGTGAATAAGCTCAGGGGTCATGGATCCTCTTAGGAACAAGTTTCAAACAAGAAAACATGGGCCTATTTAGAAGAAAAAAATCATTTTGATCAATGTTGACTTCATGCACATTTCCAAAAATTGGTCAACTTTAACAATACACATCTCCCTCAATTTAACCCTAAGAGGATGTTCTTGGACTTTTTAGAAATATTAGGATGTCCTCTAAGCAACCCTTTTGGTTTCATCTCAATTGGATCTTCCATGTTGATGTAAGAATCTTTGACCCAAAAGGTGTTTTTGTTGACTTTTGAAAAGGACCTATAATGTCTGAATTTATATATTTTCATGAGTGCATTTCTTGAACTTGAGAACTGAATATGAATTGTAGGGAACTGGATTCTATTCAAAATGAGCCTTGGATGAGAAATTTCTGATAAAGTATGAGAATGTTATGTCTGGTCAAAGTTTGGTTGACTTTTCCTATAAAAACTCTAATTTAGCAACTTTTGAGTTTTGATGAATTTGGGGCATTCCTTGAGGAATCATGATCAACCCTTGATCAACTGATGTACATTACTTAAAAATGTTGAGTTTGACCAAAAACCTTAAAGTTTGAATGTATGTGGGCCACAATTGACTTTTGATCTAACACAGTTGATTTTCAGGCATCTGAGCAGTTGACTGAGCAAACTTGTAGTGCAAGGCATGAAACTTGGCATGGGTGGTCTTGAGAACATATTAGGACCATGGGAAATATTTGAGGCCTTTGGAGCTCACCCATCTTGATGAAAATGGAAACCCTAATTGGAGATTCATTGCTTTAGGAGAGAGTTTGTATGGTCAACTTTTGAGCATCCTTAAGCAAATTGAGGGATTCAATGAGCATGTGTTGAGTGATATGAGAGGGAAAATTTTGGGGTACAACACAAAAGAATACAAGTTGACTGGCTACTATGACAATGATTGATGTGGTGACATAGATGATCGAAAAATCACTTCAGGATATGTGTTCTTCCTGGGAAACACTGCATTCACCTGACTGTGAAGGAAGAAACCCATAGTAACTCTTTCGGAATGTGAAGCAGAGTATGTGGCAGCATCTTGGTGTGTATGCCATTCAATATGGCTAAGAAGATTGCTGAGCAGGATGGGGTCGAAACAGGAAGATGCAACAATAATTCAAGTCGACAACAAATCTGTAATCGAACTAGAGAAGAATCCAGTCAACCCTAAAAGAAGCAAACACATTGATGTTCGATTCCATTTTATTTGAGAACGTGTGAAGGATAGAAGCATCGAACTGAAGCACATTGCAAGAAAGGATCAAGCATCAGACATTCTTACAAAACCATTGTCGGAGGAGTTATTCAACAGAGGCAAGAAAATGCTAGGCATGATGGATCGAAGAAATATTTGAATTTATGGAGGAGTTTTGTTAGTTAAATTCAAATATGCATTAGGTAGTACAAAAGACAGATTCTCTTTGGACAATGGGAAGTTTATTCTTTAGGGACCTAGTAATAGTTAATGTTGTAACATTTAATATTCTATCTTGTGATCTCTATATAAACCACTTTGTATTCATATTAGATGTAAGTTATACATTTTATAAAAGAAAGCAAGTTTAAGTCCACTCTCATTTTTTTCTTCAGTAGTACATTGTCATACTTGAAAAGAGTGTATATAAGAGATAAAATTGATAAAAGTTAATTATAATTGTATTGTAAAAGTAAAGAGACTATTATTTTGAGACAATTTTTTGAGACGAAAAAGACAATTATTTTAAGACAGACAGAGTATAAGGCTGCCAAGGATTCCATAACTAACATAGTTATGTGTCTATGTAGGATCTATGATATGCTCACTAGCTCCTGGATTAAGAAACTCCATTGAGAAAGCACTGAATCTGATAAGTGTCAAGCCTTGTTTTGTTAGTTCGCTATCTCAGGCCCATGAAAACGGAATAGTGGTATTTGGGTTTCCTCCTTTGAATTGGCCTTCCATTTTTGTAATATTTGGTTATTGTATCCTTCTTCTTTTCAAGTTTAATACTAATGTGTCAGCTCCTTATCAGACTCATATATTAAACTGTATTCATGAACTCAAAGCTAAAGTTAGGTGGGATCCAAGCAACACATTTCATATTCCATTTGATGTCATAAAAACAAAAACAGTTACCACAATGCTTGGTTCCCCTGAACTTCAAGAAACCGTTAAGAAGTTCCTGATGAGCAACATCAATCATTCAGACTCACAAGTTTGTAATTTCTGCAAATATTTGAGTATCATTTTACCCTAGTCTGATACGCTGGTCCGTATCTGGGTTGACTTCTGATGCTTTTTCACTTGTTTTAGTTCTCTTTTTTCTTAGATTAGTATTTTAGACATTTAGGTTTAGTTTTTCAGACTTTTCACAGGAAACTTTGAGGTTTCTAACTCTTTTTGTGTTATATTTTGAAGTTATTGTTATATTCTTCTTCTATCATCTTAATATGATTATCTTTTAAATCTTGTTATTGTTATATTAGTACTTTACTTCCTTTGTGTTGCTAGTCTTTTATCCTTCTAAGTTTTGTTTTCTCCAAAAATAATGTACAAAACCAAATAAATTCATTAGTTTTTAGTAACATTTAGTTTTTTTAGTACAAAACAATATAATATTAAAACTGGGATAAAATCTCAAACCACGTACCGAAAGCAAACAATCGCAACAAGATGTACCAGAACCTAAAAAATTTTACTAACAAAAGAAAAATACAGCAGTAAGAGAAAAAACAAACAAACCATCACAAGTCAATTCTTAATAATCGAACATCGAGAAACAACACTATTAAATAGAATCAAGCTAGAGGCCTAACCATTTGCACCACCAATATGAGATCAAATCTACCAATGAAAGAAGATAAGAAACCAACACAATTCCAACTTGGTCGAAATCTTAATATGCTATTGGTAAATATATAAAATATAATTTTGAAGCCAATATATTTGAAGGTGCAACAATTCTCCGCTGATCTATTTAAAAATTATTTCCATGCAAAAAAAGAAAAACTTATTTCCTCCACTTATTTCACATTTGTTGAAGAACTATAAAACATAATTTTATTTTGAGTTCTCCAAATAGTCTAAACAATGGCCTGTCAGATCATCAAAAACTTTCAAAGAGAAGACTAACTAAAATCCCTAAAAGGAACATTTTGTTACTCTAACCAACTGAAAACTTTATGCCAACACTACTAACTAAGTCGCAAGTGATAAATAACTAGTAATCAAATTTAACGAAAAACACTGCAAGTAAGACTTAAGGCAAGACTAAGGTCCATAATTACCTTTCTTTTGAAAAAAATTATGTAGAAGAGAGTCTATTAATTATGAAGAAGCTAATGTCAACAAAAATATTCACCTTAGATTGTATCCAACTACCCAAATATGGAGGAGAAAAATTTCTAGGATTCCCGTGCAGATTTCTATATGGAGCTACAAATTTAGGAATTTTTCCCTCCACTAGTATAAATAAGACAATAGAATTATTAATGTCATATCTATTTTATAAAAAGAGGTGTAAAAATTATATTTGGTGGAAATTTTGTAAATATATTAGAAAATTAAGTTTAGCATCAAAAATTTGAAACCCGTTTACAAAAGGATTAAACTTATATACAATTCAATATGTACAGTTTTTGCGGCTCAAGCTGCTGAGGTAGAATTGGTTTTGGATTATGTTTTTTTTATACCAAATATCGCACTAATTAGAATTTGCAACCATTTGCTCCTTTCGTCGGATTCAACCATCATAAAGAAAGTGTGTTATTTGGTGCATCATTATTATATGATGAAACTGCTGCATCATTTGAGTGGTTGTTCAAGACTTTTCTTAAAAATTTTCACAGATCAGGATGCTGCCATGGCAAACACAATTTCAGAGGTTTTACCAGAAATATGTCATCGTTTATGTTTGCGGCATTTATTTCAAAATGGGCTTAATAGTGTTAATCACGTGTTTAAGCAATCAGATTGTTTTGCTAAAGATTTACGAAGTTGCATTTACGACTTTGAGTATGAGAATAGCTTTCTTACTGTCTGGGATTCATTACTTGACAAGCATAACCTTCACCAAAATAAATGGATGCAAGACTTTTATAAGACCAAAGAAAAATGGGGTTTAGTATATGGGCGAAACACGTTTTCAGCAGGTGTTACAACAACACAATTAAGTGAGAGTTTCAACGGCCGTTTAAGGCTTTACATGAAGTGAACTTATAATTTGTTAGAATTTTCCAGACACTTTGAAAGGTTGGTTGAGGACATGCGGTATAAGAGTCAAACTATGAAATGTGCCAGAAGGTGCCGTCATTAAATATGAATATCATGTTACTGAAAAATGCAAGAGATATCTACACACCAACTATTTTTTCTTTGATTCCTGGAGAATAATCAAGAAAACGATTAAAATTTTCTTTCCCAACTCCTCAAATTCGTGTCACTTAATCTATAGACATGTAGTGAGAGGGAGTATCGAGATGGTGGGCCACGTATCCCACTAAGAAAAAGAAATGATGGAGAATTAACAGTTGCACGTCTCGAGGAGAAGATGTTACGCCAACTAAGGGAGAAATGGAAGCGGATGAGTTGTTGGAAAATGGTTGATGTTTCAAAGATGTCATTGTCTCATGTCGGCAGAAATCCGAAAATGACATCTCTGGGGAGCATTTTGTTACCTTAAAAAAATCCTTTAGGATAAATATTGCGTAATTAATAAGGATAGTCCCGCGAGTTAAGAAGAAGGTATCCTACAAATAAAGGTTGTAAGGAAATTAAGCTCGAGAATGATAAGTAGTTGGAAAAATTATTAGTCAGCAGTGGAAAGTCGGCACAATTAACAAACAAGCTAGTCGAAGTTTGATCTTGTCGACCAAATTGAAATCTGAGACTTAGAGAAGTTTGGATCATCTATCTACGCTAAGGGATGGCATCGAAGTGAGCGCTGGAGCGGGATAATTTTGAAATTTGAAAATACCAGCAGTTGCAAGACAGTTTTCCAGATTAAGCGCCAAGTACGTAGTGAAAATATAGATAAGCAGTTATCTTAGGCCAAATACGTGTCAAGTATATAGTGTGTTCTAGTATGTAGGCCGTTGAATTTGTAATTACTATAAATAAAAGGATCCAGTATAGGATTCGGGGTGTTCACTTTGTACTAGAATCACTTAACAAACCCAATATTCCAACCGTAAGGAAGCAGAGGGTTTCAAAGATGTTAATGTACGTGAATCAACATCTTTATGTCAATGCAAATTCCTTTCTTTTCAGTTGTTCCTTTTGAATCTTTTGCTTTAATTTTATTTACTTTCGAACGATCCTTTTATATTATCATCTACGCTTTTAAAACTCGTTCTATCTCTATACTAGATTTCACTAAAGAGTAACTCAACATTTATTTTATTTAAACAACTCGTAACCTACTGTCGGTCACGAGTCACCTTTAGCCGGTCGAAACATTACATTATGGAAACTCATGTTTGTTCTATCATTTAGAGAAAACCGTTTCTCAAAAAGCAAAGTCTTACGTCGGTTGAACAAGTTATACTTAGATACATTAGCGCATGTTTTAAGATCAACTAGTCGATAATGCAAGTAACCCTTAATTTTTAGGCTTTGGAAAGACTATCAATTGTTTACCTTTTTTCAAAATAATAGGTTAGATTTAGTTTATATATATTATATATTAAGTTAATTTTTATTCAGAAAATATATTATATATTTTATATATTTTGTTATATATTAAATATGTAAAAATATGTTATATATTTTAGTTTATATATTATATATTTAGTCTATATTTTTTTTTATTCCAAAAATATATTATATATTATATATTTTATTATATTAAATAGTATATTAAAACAGTTTATATATTATTTTTTTTTATTTCAAAAATATATTATATAGTATATATTTATTGTACTAAATAGTATATTAAAACAATTTATATATTTAATTATATTAAATGGTTTATATATTATATATTATATATAATAAAAACAGTTTATATATATATATATATATATATATATATATATATATATATATATATATATATATATATATATATATATATATATATATATATATATATATATATATATATATATATATATATATATATATATATATATATATATATATATATATATATATATATATATATATATATATATATATATATATATATATATATATATATATATATATATATATATATATATATATATATATATATATATATAAAATTTTTACTATTGAGTTATATATAATTTATTTTAATATATTAACTTTATTATAAGGACATGAAAATCTATGTATTACCTAAAATTATTTGTTATATAGGAGTATCTAATTATTTTTATCTTTTTCTTAACAAAAATGTTAAGGAAAATAAAACCCAAAAAAATTACGTAAAAGATTATTATAATATAATTTTGTATTTGAATTTTTTTTATTAAAATATTTTTAATATTTTAAATTTTATTATGAATAACTTTACAAATTATAATATGAGCAGAATTAAGAGAAAAAAAATTATTTCGAAGACTATTATAATTTTTAAATGGAAGGATTAAATGAGATTTTTTTAAATAAAAAATTAAAATTGGAGGTTTTGAAAAGACAACAAGTCAGCAAAAACATAATTTATTTAAATGAGATTTATTTTTTAATAAAAGATCAAAAATAGAGGCTTCAGAGAAGCGACAAGTTAGTCATTATTATAATATTATATAAACTGTTATAATATAATATACTATTTTATATTATATTAGAATATTTTAGATTAAAAGATGTTTAAAATTTAAAATGAGAGGCTTATATGATATTTTTTTAAATGATATTTTTTTAAATAAAAATTAAAATGAGAAGTTTTGGGAAGACGACACGTCAATAATTGATAACTTGTTTTAGAGATAAGTTTAAAATATGAGGTTTTAGAAAGGTGACACAATAGTAATTGATAGTTTTTTTGAGATATATATAAATGAAAAAAAAAATTTTGACTTATATATTTAAATATTATGTAGTTTAAAGTTATTTTTTTGACTAAAAATATTACGTAGTTTTTTTTATTAAAAATATTGACTAAAGTTATTGTTTTGTATTTCTTTTAACTCTTGTGCTAACAACCCTAATTAATGTTTATCAATTTTTTAAAGTATGAAATCTCTATTATACATATTATTTTAGGACTATAAATAAAGATCTCTTGCAAATCTAAGAATATCAAGAACATAGAACTTGAGAGTTTCA